GCTTTTATTTGTCTTGGGGTTTTAAACGGATCTTTGGACGAAATTACTTTTATTTATTATTAATCTAACTGATCTAGCATTTAGCTTTCTAGGATGATCACTTTTCTTAGAGGCTTCCAAGATACCTTTTTGTTTATACTTGCTTTACGCTTCAGCTTCAAATTTTTGGCAACGTCGACTTGACGTTGACCATCGTTGCATAACTCAATGATCTTAGTTTTCACATCGAAAGAAATTTCTGGACCACGCGGCATGGTCTTAAAATCACTCAACTTATTCCACAATACTTGATGAACGCAAACTAATCCTCTTCTGACACGAAACTGTACTAATGCTGAAAAGAATTTGTCTACATATTTTTGTCCCTCATAAAAAAGTGCTTATACTCAGACTTGTATTGTGTTCATTGCAGATAATGTAAAAACAAGGAATTTAGTTTTTCTACTAATAACGCATTTGTTTATGGAGCAATGAAGTATGAATTCGTTTTCTAAAGGTATTTAGGTAAATATTCATATTTGTCTATATACTTTTGTCCATTACTGTATATCATCGTGAGCATCAGATTCCTATAATCATTTTTCAAGTGAAATTGTTGACTTTCTCATTGGGAAATAGCTCCATATTAATGATTAGCTCTTTTGCAGACGAAGGAATTCTAACACTTGCTTTATTTTTCGGCAATCCATCGACCAAAACTTCCAATAAACAATATGAAATTCGCAAGTTATCGATAATGCACACAACCTTAACTTTACTCTTACCTAACTTCCTCTTATAAACCAGCTAAAACGACATGAACGCAGTCCTGGATGCTGTGGAGTACGTGGCTCTGACAAGGTCTACTTACTGGACTGGCTTATCGACCCTAGCCTATTTTGGTTGTTTTCGCTGAGAAACATTGCCATTAAACGTGTGGGAGTTAACCGAGCTGACATGTGGGCTATATATGCAATAACCCCCGATACCATAACGCCAATAGTGAGGTAAAACGCGTTTCCGTAGAAAATTGAGTATAATAATAATAATAATAAATGGCCTTTATTCGTCACATGATTACAAAATAATTGGCTTAAAAGGAATAGTGACGAAAAGGTGGAGTGTTAGCTTATGCTGTTTTTCAACCCGACCTAAAAAACATTGACACAAACTATAAAGAGAAAAAAAAGTACCTACATTTAAATGGCACAGTTCTCAGAAAAAGGAAACAATCAATTACCTGTGGATCGATCCTAGCCTATTTTGGTTGTTTTCGCTGAGAAACATTACCATTAAAGGTGTGGGAGTTAACCGAGCTGACATGTGGGCTATATATGCAATAACCCCCGATACCATAACGCCAATAGTGAGGTAAAACGCGTTTCCGTAGAAAATTGAGTATAATAATAATAATAATAAATGGCCTTTATTCGTCACATGATTACAAAATAATTGGCTTAAAAGGAATAGTGACGAAAAGGTGGAGTGTTAGCTTATGCTGTTTTTCAACCCGACCTAAAAAACATTGACACAAACTATAAAGAGAAAAAAAGTACCTACATTTAAATGGCTCAGTTCTCAGAAAAAGGAAGCAATCAATTACCTGTGGATCGATCCTAGCCTATTTTGGTTGTTTTCGCTGAGAAACTTTACCATTAAAGGTGCGGGAGTTAACCGAGCTGACATGTGGTAACGTTATTGCACCCACTAGGGTGTTGTTCGTGTGAAACTGATGCTCAGGTAGCATTTTCATTTTCATTTCATACGATCCGAGTTACGTACGCCCAGCGGAGCATAAAATAGAAAATATGGTCGATTTCCATTTCGTCCATCCTCAGATCGAATGAATTTGAAATTGGATGCGGTAAACATCAGTGCGTTGCCCTCGGGAAGTCTGGTATAATGTGATACAGTGAGGACAATTTTGGAGAAAAATATTTTCCAATGCCACAGTGCGATAATATACTTACCGAAGAGTAATAAGTGAATTTATTTTTAATCAGTACGTACTAGATGTATGAACTACAGTAAATGCAGAAAGTGTACCACCCGCGACAGCGGGGTGTGTTTGTAAATCACTTGGTACTGTAATACCGTACACCGTAATGAAATAGAGATAGTCAGATGACATTTTATACTCGAATACTGTGAAACTCTACGTTTATGTTAGAATTAGTCTAATCATATTAGACCCCTGGTTTGCGAAATAATTGTAAAGTCTGATTTTATTGTTGCAAGTTGTTCAAGGGGATATTCAGAACATGGACGTATAAAATGGGTACACCAATTTTGGGTGTGTGGGAAAACTTTTTATTCGACAACAAAGAATTAGAAAACGTGTTTTTTTGGGCTTAAATCGAAAGAATTGGCAGGAACAAAGAAACTCTTCAAATGAAATTTTAGGTATTTATGAGTCCTACAACATGAGACCACACGTAAAAAGATCCGACTAATAGCAAAAAAGCTATGGCCGAAAATCGAGGCAAACTGCAGGTTTTGGCACTTGTTGGTAATGCGTTGATGGTTTCTCGCAGATATTTGAAATTCTTCAAATTCGTAGGATTGGTCAAGTAGTTTTTGAGAATTTTGGTCAAGTAGTATTTGAGAATTTCTAATTATTGTTTATCCCACTACACCTGTTTTCCCGCCATCATTACTAATTTATAGCAAAATACACAAAAAAGGATGATTTACGTTTTTTCTTATAAACAAATTCAAACATTTCGTATTTGTGAGTAATTCGCAACAAAAGATGATAGACACATCCGCTTTGTTTCAAAATGTGTATGTATATCGAATATCATAGCGCATTTGTTCAATTACAACAAATACGAAATGTTTGAATTTGTTTATAAGAAAAAACGTAACCTTGGTTTTTCGCATAAAAATAACATTTATCTTTCGGAATGGTTTGTGATTCATATTCGCAAGGTAAACACGTGTATTTTGCTATTAAATGCTCTTTTAACGAACCCTGTGTATTGGTCAATAAACTAGTAGTGATAGCTGAAAGACAGGTGTTTTAGGAGAAACAGTTAGAAATTCTCAAAAAACTACTTGACCAATATAATCCAATTTTGTTGATATTACTTAGAAGTATGAATCCTACGGATTTGAAGAATTTCAAGTAGTTGCGTGAAATTATCGTCTCATTACCAACAAGTGCTAAAATTTGCATTTTGCTTCGTTTTTCGGAGATAACATTTTTGTTATTTGTCGAATGTTTTTACGTGTGGTCTCATTTTGTAAGTCTCATAAATACCTAAAAATCTTATATGAAAAGTTTTTTCGTTCCTGTCAACACTTCCGATTGAATCCCAAAAAACACTGAAATTGGTGAACCCATGTTTTGCGTCCATTTTTTAAATACTCCCATGAACAACTTGACCAATAAAACCAAACTTTACAATTATTTCTGGGAGATTTACTAATATAATTAGACTAAACGACTAAATTATCACAGAGTCATATGATGACATTTGATGGCAGCCGACTACTTTCTAATTTCTAACCACTTTTTCTGCAACCATTATATTGATTATAAGAAACGCTATGGATACGAGTCCATTTATCCTGAAAAATGTATATTTTGCCAATTTTGAGCACTTTTTGATAACCAAATAAAGTAAATAAACAATGAACCATGGGAATGACAAATACACTTATTCCCAAGGTTTTGAGGACGAGAAGAAAAGCGCACTTTTGACGTTCCAGAAGTATTACTGTGTTCATATGTCCGAACGCATGGAACAGGTACAATTACGAACGCTAAAACTGTCACAGCGTAGTACAAAGTACGCTCTGTAACAATTTACGAACGCAGCCCAGACCCTAATCAATCTTGACATGCCAAGGTCAAAAGAGCGGTCGTATTGGTCGTGTCTGTATTAATTCGATGGAAAATAAGAAGCAGAAGCCCGGAGTGTTTCCCCGGACCAGTCCGCTGCAACATCATGGTATAGTGCCTATTCGGAATTTACCTAATGGGTACAAGGGTCGGATGTCCGGGGCCCCAGGTTGAATACAAATGCCTAAATATCTAAGAATCTTCAAAAAAAGTCTGAGTAACCGAAGCCATTGATCTAAGCTACTGGGTTCCAGGGACTCTCTCATGACTTAAGACGGCCCTGATGCATTCATCAGAGAAGCAAAATTCGTTATTTGGTATTGGGTAGGAACCGAAAGCTCTCTACATTCTCCTCCATTATGACCCGACCACATTTGGTACATTAAGTCTGTCTCAAGTTGCTTAGCGCCTTGAGGTCCTTTTATCTGCATTGGTGATTGTGCAACGATTCCGTTTCACAGAGTCCTTGTTGCCACTTTGTTACTTTGTTTAATTAATATAAGTTCTTGACCCACATACAAGGGCGGATCCAGCCTGTGTCTGGGAGGGTCACAGGAAGACGTTCGTCTTGAGGGAAGGTTGCTCCGATAGGAAATCGAAGAGCGCGTGGAGCGGAGAGGGGGGGGCAGCATCAGTGCTTGTGAGAGCGAATACTTTGATATAATTGAAGTGTGGGTGGGGTGGTGGCCGCGTCTCGATTCGCCCATGGGATCGCAACCACCTTGATCCGCCCTTGCCCATAGGCACCAATAAAGTAGGAGACCAGAGCGAGCAGAATGCAGATCGTTATGCTAGAGGAGTTTATGTTTGGATCAACTCTTAAAAATATACGGGGAAATTTTAACAACTTTGAACTTTTCTTATTGATATTCAACATATTTAGTTTTGCTTATCATGCATAAGTGTGCCTTTCTGACAGAAATTGTCGAACATTGTTGATTCACATTTTCGAGCGATACATTTATTTATTTATTTAGTTGTAATAATATTTAATAAAGATTATATATCGCTTCTCTTTCCCCCAGTGTGCCTCAAAACACCTTAGAACTGTGTTATACTTTTCAAGTGATGCGAATTTTGTGGCATTCTGACTATCACCTTTTCGTTCTTAAACTTTTATGACAGCATTTTGTAACGATTTTTTGTATTGACTATGTATTTCTGTCTGTTTCAGAGCCGAACGAGAAAAAGTGCGAGTAACCTTTTTCCAGCAATCGAAACCTCTCGAGGTCGACCTACCGGATGAGCCTGTTTTCACAGAAACAGACTTCATGATGGCCTCACCCGTTACGATGAGCGAAACCAATCACGTGATCTACAATAGGACTGAAAGGTAGGAACATTTTTTCAGTTTTTTTATTTTAAATATATTATACATCTACTTTTGTAGTTCCATATGTACATTCATTTCGGGCCTGATGAAGCCAACAAGCAGAAATACGTATCGCTCGGGTTACCTACCCTATTTTCTGCTCGAATCCACTTTCCTCTTTTTTGCGGATTTTGCCCATTATTTTCCTACTTGTTGTTATATCCTTTCTCCGCATGATCATATTCTCTTTGTAGATCCTTTGGGCTTGAAGTACCACAGCAAGTGGCTATAACCGGCCACGTGGTGGTGGTTAGACGTCTCCTTGGAAATTCGAGGTCGTATAGCCATTTTATACTACAATGTGTAGGTTGGCTCTTGTTGTGGACTTCGTGTGTCGTTTTTTTTTCCTCCAACTTCGTTTCTTCAGGTTACACCCGTATCCGGATGTGTGGGCATGTGTATCTACTTTTGTAGTTTCATATGTACGTAGTCGTGCCATAAGTTCTGTCCCATGATAATCTCATGATAAAAATGAAACAAGATAAGATATATTTATATGAAAGATATTATTTATTCGACAACATTTTTAGAATTCATAATCAAACAGTTTTATTCAAAATGTCCCCCCTTGGCCTTCACACACTGCTTCAATCTCGCGGGCCACTCATCTATCACTGCACGCACAGCTTCCAAAGGAATAGCTGCCGCTCATCGGATCAAATCCGCTTTCAGGGACTCGATATTACGGTGGGCTTTGGAGCAGGCCAACTGCTCTAGCAGGTCCCACAACTTGTAGTCTAAAGGATTGAGGTCCGGACTCCCTGAGGGCCAATCTTCCGCAGCAATGAACTCTGGCACATTGCTTTCCAGCCAGCGCTGCGTACTCTTAGCCTTGTGAGCGGGGGCGGAATCCTGCTGGTAGACCCAGTGTTGGTTGGCAAACAATGTACCACTTAAAGGCTTGACGATAGGATCCAGTATGTCGCTCTGATAGTTTGCCGCTTTTGTTTTCACGCCCTGTTTACAGAAATGGAGCTGAGTGACCCCTTCGTAGGACACCCCCCACCAAACCATGACTGACGCAGGGTGGTGGCCTCTCTCAACTCTCGGAATGATCTCCGAAGCTTCCTGTGAACTCCTTGCATACACTTTGTCATTTTGTCGGTTGAATTTTTCTTCTATGGTGAAGATTTTCTCATCCGTGAACAAAATCTTTCGGAATCCCCCAGCTGCGTACCTCTCCAAGAGCTTCTTGGATCTTGTCGCCCTGATGTGTCGCAACGTGGCCGTAAGTCGCTGGCCCGTACGTCTCCGGTAAGCCCCTAGCCCTAGGTCTTGTTTAATGATGCGCGACATCGTCCGGACAGGAATCTTCATTTCCCTGGATAGGATCTTCTGCTTCCGGAGTGGATTCCTTTGAATCCTGGCTTTTACGGCTTTGATGGCTGCTGGAGTCCTTACTTGACGAGGTCTTCCGCTTCTTGGCCTGTCATCAACAGAGGACGTCTCATTGTACCGCTGAATGGTCCTAGACACAAATTTACGCGATATTTGAAGGCCGCGTAAGAGTTCAAAAATCTGACTAGCACTGTGATTACACTTATGTAAAGCTATCACTGCAATACGGTTCTCTGCCTTGCCCCACTCCATCGTTATGCTTCGAGAGATCAATACAAACTGAGGTATATGTAATTACCCGAAAAGCGCTTGATCAACTGACACCACAATGTAAACAATCGGACAAGTATTAACAGGTCTACACTTGTTTGAAAACGAGGGGCAGAACTTATGGCATGACTACGTACATTCATTTCGGGCCTGATGAAGCCAACCAGCAGAAATGCGTATCGCTCGGGTTACCTATCCTATTTTCTGCTCGAATCCACTTTCCTCTTTTTTGCGGATTTTGCCCATTATTTTCCTACTTGTGTTTATATATATAATATATATATATTACATAATATATATGCTATCTTGGAGCGAAAAAGAAATGGAGTCTCCATACATTGGTCGGCACTAGGCCAACTTGTAGGATAGGATGTGAGTGATAAATAATGCCCTGTGGCACTTCAGTCAATGGATGACAGTTTATTTATCACACAAACCATAGTCAAAAGCAAACAAAAATATTAGGTCTCAGTGATTTAGTATTGCAAGTATGTACATAAGAAGACATTATGCCTGCCATAATGCTATGAACAAACGTGTTTTATTTTACTTATTCATTTTATTTCATTCATGTATGTCTCAATGGATAAAGATCCAATTACAGACAAACACTATACAAGTGATGAAAAACAAATAGACAAGCAAACAAAAAATAGTATTATGGATTGATGATAAAAAAAACTATATTTGTGTATATCAGAAATCCAACACAAAGCCCCATGCTTGTCTTCGAAATTACTGAACTCATACATAATTCCAGAAAAACCTTTTGGTGACCTATTCGACACGAATAATCAGATTTGGCCTTAGCTCATTTATTTTTCACTATATTACGGCTGGTATCCGTCTATTCCAATTTATTCTAATAATAACTTTATTGCATAGCAAACAGATTTCACAAATATGACTTGTGCTTCGTATAAGTTCTTCTTAATCAAAATTCTAAATTTGTTAGTTTAGCAAAAACATTTTTGAATTCATACCATCTTTTTGTTTTCCTGATAAGTTGTAAATTTTGTCTTGGGCGTTGCTACCAGGTTTACAGATTATATTATAAAGTTACACCAAGAACATATCTATACTCCCTCGAGTCGCAGATTAGTACTTATCGTATTTCTCCGTATTGTGTTTGGTCTGTTTTCTTACCGTTCTATATCAAGTTGCTTATCTATATAGCGTTGGTCCAATATCATTCGGTAGCTGTGGAAACCCAGGTCGTTCAGCGCCAACCACGGCCAGTGTGTATTGGTTTAGCGCCCACACGTTTGTATTGACCTGGCTTCCTGATCAAAAAGTCTGCTTTTTGCAGCCCACAAGAAGCTTCTCCATTTGTGGCAATTGCATGGAACACTAGAACCAAAGAGTTCCCAACTAACAATTATCACTCCTACTAGAGTTGCAAGAATGATTATACAGTATTCCTTAAACAGCATTGTATACTGTAAGAACATTAGCAAAACCTTCTTAGAACTGCTATACAAGCGGAATGGGCACACTTAATAGGACACTTCAGTCATTTAAGAGGTTGTATAAGGGCTACAGGTAACAGTTATACAACAAAAGTGTAAGCCTCATGCAGCCACTATAGGACATTTGCATCAGTGCAAGATTCAGTTTTTGTTAACTATATAACTATTCTGTTACGTGATTCTACTTTATTGCAACCAAACTATTTCTTATGTATTGTACAGATGAAGAAAAATACGTAACTAACACATTACAGTCATCTTGTTTACTTACATATCGGCCATTGTGAATTTCATACACAGGTATATGATAAACTTCTACACTGTGACATAGGGCTATTGAATTACTTGCGTAGCAAATTTTATTGTGATTATCGTGCAAATTAGTTACGCAATTTCTACGGGCTTCGTATTTGATTCATATTTTGATAATGATCAAAAGTATGTCTAGATTTTTAAGATGCAAAACTGAACTTATCTGCGTTAAATCTCCCACAAATCCTATATTTGGACACAATTACACTAATGTTTATCACTTTATATCTGCAATTTCGAACTGAAACATAATTATTTAATATTAAATAGAGGAATAAATGTTTGCACAATATGGCGGGTGGTTGTGTATAATCATGGCATCGTCCATGTTGCCTTTAGGTTATTAGAATATTTTGGTGTTACCTGCAGGTGTTATACAACAATTTGACAAATATCTGAAATCTAATACCGACATAGTCGAATGATTCACCCAGAATTTCTACCAGATCTATATCTTCTGTTTGAACAATTGATAAAACATTTTGAACCAATATGCATACGTTGTTTGTCTTAAAAGTATTGGTTATGGCATTTTAAAAAAAATATGACAGCAGAAAGTTAGGTTATGGTGAAGTTGTATACCAACATAATAAGCATATATACAGCCTTTAACAGTTACTAAACAACAGTTGTATAAGTGCTTCCGATGGGAGCAATTTGTTGGCTAAAGTAGTAAATTGCACACTAAAACAACAAGGCTCGGGTTTGTCTTATAAACATTACCATGGATGCCACAACACAACCATTTTGACTAACGTGCAAATATGCCGTATAAAATAGTTGTATAAACGTTTATGCAACAGTTAAAAATTTGCCCTATAAGGTATTGTATAACTATGGTATAAGAATATTTTAAATACCTCACTTTAGAGCAAATATGTTGCAGAAAGCAAATTTGCATTCCACAGAACATTAAGCCAGCATTTTGGTGTTCAGGCAACAACAGTAGAGAGCTTTTATGGCTGAACGGTTCTTTTAGCAAAAGCTTATACCACTACTTTGCTAGTTGGGTTGTTATATAGAGAGAAAACAGACAAAGCGAATAAAATTCAGTTATTCGCAAATAAATGCGTTGTTGATAGATAGATACACCTTTTTGGATCAATTTACTTTTGTTTGGACATTTATTCAGGGTATGGATATTTATTATCCATTTGCAACCTACGAAATATATTTTTTATTCAATAAAATTATCAATCACAATTTTTTCGAGAAAAGCGCTCCTCAAAACCTGTAAGTTATCTTATAGTTATTTAACTTTTAGCACTTTACATGGAATACTTCACGACTTAGTTCAGTAATGAAAGAAGTACGTCAGCTTGAAAATTTCATAACCTCAAAAACCACCACGAAAAACCATGAAAAGAACTGAATTCCATACTGCTTAGTATAAATGTAGCGTTTTAGAAATACTTTCTTGCAGCTTGGCAACACCGCCTCGGTAGCTTAGCAAGGTCCGCACATAGAACGCTATTTTTATTTGTAAATCTGTAATAGTCCACTGATGTGGAATGGTAAAAACTAGCCAAATGTTACGTATCATATCAGGATGCGATGATGTAACAAAAAATA